TTCTTCTGTAAAGTGAAAACAGGTTTTACTTTTAACCTTGTTGTGTACTTTGTTCTTTAACGTTCCTTTTCTTTTATGTTTATCACTGTTATTGGACCCTAACCCAACCTAACCTGTGCAACCTTATTTTTTGCCATGTGGTTGTTCCTCTTCTTTTTTATTAAAACTTTGTACGTCAAAGATAAGGGGAAATCCAACAAACTTTTGACTTATATATGCCAGATCATTCACTAGAGAACACTACATTATGACCTCGTTAATATGGTCGTGCTTTCATTTTCTGACAAATGGATGGAATGTTTCCAAGCTAGACTAGCTAATTCGGCCCTTGGATGGCATTTTTTATTTGTCATTAATATTGACTAATGAAAAAGATTTTAACTCTTGTTCGAAACATTTAACTAACCGAGAGTCTCGTATATTACAATATTTATAAAGAAATCATCACTAAATTTTATTGTCGATTAATATGTTGGTAGATAATCAAGATCATCTAGAAAACATGTACAATTAGCAAGTTATTGTCAATTGGCTTGTCTTGACCATAATAGAAATTAGGGGTTGGAGAGGAAAATTGAAATAATCTGACAATACTTTGATAAATTGTTTATTGATAATCTCAATGAAATACTCGAACAAAATATTAGACTCCGAGACAAAATCTTAGTGGACCTATTTGACTAAATTTTCTAAAATATCCTTAACTCATATTCGTGACTACATCAATCATACAGAGTTTCACTCTCCCATCTAAGCTAACAAAATACCCCAAATTCCAAGGACTTCCAACTGTACATGGCGCTGGGCCGTGCTTGGGCCGGCACGGTACGGGCACGCTTTGGGCCCATTTATTTCGTGTCGTGCTTGGCACGGCCCGTCAGTTTTCGTGCCGTGCCATGCAAGCCCATTTGTTAACTTTGCTAGGCCCGGCCCAGGCGCGGGCACGGTTCGAATCGTGTCGTGCCTATTCGTGCTCGTGCCATGTTCGTATTCATGTTTAATGAAAAGGACGAAAACAAAAGAGAGAATGAAAAAGAAGGTGAAAATTGGACGGGGGAAGATAGTATTAACCGATAATGTTTGAGAAAAGTAACAAATAAGGGGGAAAAGAAAATTGGAAGTATAGCGAGTGTGATTTGGCTTTGTTTACTTCTTTATCCATTTTTACTTATGTTAGTAATCACGTATATATCTTTATGACAATTCTAACAACAACAAATAATTATTTTTCTACTTGTGTTTTGTAATATTTGAACCTATAATTCTTTTATATTTATTTTCCATCAAATAAATATTATTTTCGTGTCATATTCGTTCTTATACTCAATAAAGTCTCGAAAATATTGGGCCCAACACGGCCCACTTATATACCGTGCTGTGCCCGTGCTCGTGCCCATGAAGTTTAGACCCGGCACGGTCCATAAATTATTCGTGCTCGTGTCGGGCTGGCCCATTTATTTAGTGCACGTGCTCGCCTAGTGCCCACGTACACTTCCAACCCATGAATTTCCACCCATTTCTAGGTAATGGATTGAAATCAAAGCCCAAAAGACCGGATTATTATGGAAACAAGAAGTGGGTTCTACTGAAATGCAGCAGTTGGGACTGTTGGGGTCATAATAGGAGCAACCTTTTTGCATTTGGCAAATGGGATGACCGAATGGCTCATTTAGTATACCCAACTCAATCAAAGTATGATCAGACAGAGAAATGCTGCATTTTGCCATGTTGATGCAATATAACAAGCAAAACAGCACATATGTTGTATCCTTTATAGTGGTAGAATGTATTGTTTTCCACATCTCTCTTTGTTTTTTAGGCGAATTCATTACCAGACATGAAGTTGTAAACTGGCATGTTCATTTCTTGATGGAGAAGTAGAAGTGAGACATGTGCCACGACATTTACATTACGCCGTAAAAGAAAAGAAAAAGAAAGGTTCTTTGCTTTCTAATTAGGGGTTGCTTTACTTCGATTTGGTGACGAATTTAACATTTGATTTATGTTTTCTATTATTTATACATCACATCATAATCCAACAAGTCGTTGATTATACCCAAGCTTTAGCTTTCTTTCTTTGTTTCGTTTTGTTTTTGAGAATGGTGAAATAACGGATTCGAATTTGAAATCTCCTTTAAGCGAGTCCATCACTTTAATCATTTGGTTGAGGGGTTGTTGACTAAATGAGTTCGATTTGTTTACGATGAGTATTATTTGTCATATCTAAGGTAGTTCTCGGTCACCGTGACTATATATAACACAACTATAAAGATAGATGATTCAAGGGCACAACAACTTGAGCAATATCCCTCTTATGTGATATCTTTAATTCAGGATAACAATGAGATTTGAAACTTAAACTTGTCGTTGTGTGAAATTGACCTCTAAATATATTCCAGAGCAATTTCAATAGAATCCATTTCTATATCTTGTTGTACAACTAGGGTATAGTAGTTGTTGTTAAAGCAAACCCGAGCATAATGAATGTCCCCTCAAGTATAATGATAGCTAACAGACACACAACCTGATAGGTACCCGACATATAATCTTCTTTACTATATATAACATCAACAAACTTGTAATCTAACGATACCTGAACAGAAATACATCTCACTGATAATAACTTCGAGTTGTAACTATCTCCATACAAAACCCTAATCCCCTCTTCCTTTCAGGCTATATATTAAATCTTTCCATTAATTAGTGCTATAAAATTAAACTATTCCTTTTCCTCCACACCTGATAACACCAACTTCCACCTCACTATGGATATGCATACCAACAAAGACTCATAACCAATGTCAATTGAGACCAATATTTATATGAAGTGCCATAAATTATGATGTGGGTATATGGTAGTTGGAGTTGTTCATAATACAGTACTAACAGAGTAACAGCTACATTATAGAGTTCCCACTGAACCTGAAACCATATAGCTAACCTTTGAACCCAGGGGCGGACGCACGGAGGTTTAGGGGACACCCCTAAATTTTGGGGAAGCGATTATTCAACCCACGGTAGTAATTTACGTATGGGTAAAAAAAATTAGAATTGGTAGTGAGGGACCCCCCTGAAATTTGAAAAAATGATTATAAATGTCAATTTTTTTAAATTTGTGTATGAGAATATTAGTGATAGATTGGGTAATTCAAACCTAGAGCACTATTATTATTAACAAATTTAATTTCCATTAAACTACAACTCATTTGTTGTTTGATTTTGAACACTGTATCATAGTAAAATGTCATTCCCTATTTCTAATTATTTTCAAAACATAGCAATTAAACTAATTTCAACCTACCCTTAATTTTTATTGATTTTATGGTTGTACGACAAGTGTTGAAAGATTTTTTCAGTTTTGGGTTACATCAAGAACAAGTTTACAAATTGAATATGCGATAAGTTCGTGAATGATTGTCTAGTAGAGTATATAGAGACAATTTTTTAAACACTCTAGACACCAAGTGTATTCTACAATTATTTCAGAATATGAAAACACATAATGAACTTTTTTAACCTGTACGAGTAAGGTATTTACTAATTTACAATTTTATTTTTATTAATTATTTTATTTTTATTTTTACTAAATTTATTTTTTAAAAGAGGACACCCCTATAAAAAATTCCTGGGTCCGTCACTGTTTGAACCTAACCCACTTTCTCTCTCTCTCTCTTTCTTCTCATCTTAATTTCTCCACTAACCCATTTCGAAGAAGCATCATCTCCAACCCTAAAACATGCTATTGAAGATTCTATGCGTCAACCACCTCCATCCTCTCTCAACTATGGCGCCCAAGTGATCAGAATTCAGAACCAAAATTTCATTTGGAAAAGGGAGAAAGTTACCATCAAGAATTTGTTTGTACAACCTCCAAACCAAAAAGATAAGCCTCTCTAAATGACAAAGATTCGATTCCAGTGAACGCGTTTGTTAGGAAAGCTCCTCCTCCTAATGGAGCCAACCACAAAGTGGGATTCCATTTTAGACAGTCCTCCAGCTTTCTGGGACCCATTCTAACTTAAACTGATAGCTAAAGGCATGGTGGGGAAATTAAAACTATGAATATAGCTTAGGTAAAACTGAAGGCCAATGAAAGCAAAGGTGAAATGGGAAAGGAATAGATAACATATGGATCCTCGATCATGACCATAGAGGTGGTTTGGAGGTAAGATTGCGACGGGGGATTGTGCCATTTTCTTAAAACTAACCTTATTTGGTTGTAGATAGTGAATATGATTTACCCATTTTACAATTTGGAACAATTATAGTAGTTTTTGGATGTTACAACTCATTGTTGAAAACGATAGATTTCGTAATAGTGTTCTTACTTGGTTTACTTTTGATGGGTTAAAGTTCATGTGGTACATCGGTTGAGTAATCAAATCTTACTTTGGATTTCATAATTAAGCTTTATTAGGTCTCATCCGCACTCATTGACTACGAAAAATACATTGTTACATACAACATTATTGTTAAATCACATCCTTTTCTTTGTATTTATCAATTTATTTTATCAATCGAATAACGAACAAAAATTTGTTCTATAAGTATTTATTGTTGGTCTTCATCTTAAGTTCGAATCGCAAGATGGCTTTCTCATCCTCCTCCTTGCCGCTAGTCCACTATAGTAGCATGTACCATTTATGATCTATCTGTCGTGGAGTTTTTTCCAAGTTCCAACCGTGTGTTTGTAAGAGTTATTACATTATTTATGTGCTTTGTCTGATCAAAATATAAATTTTGTTGCTATCTATTAATTTTATTTTTGCGGACTCTAAAATTACGATAATTTAATTTCATACTGAAAATGGAAATTGACTTGTTTATGAACTGAAATTCCGGAAGGATTGGTGGCACCAAATTTTCCAGACAAATCTCACAATTTCCATAGAAAGCGTGGGGGTGAAGCAATTAGACAAAGAGGACAAACCCCCAAATTTACAAATTCCAAGCTCAACACATTTACAAATCAGCACCAATCACCCAAATTCGAACCCACGTCACTTTCCGGGGACGAAGTTGGTGGCAAAAGCCCACGCATTGTTGCTGACCGGATCGGCAATGTGGTCGGCCAAATTCTCCAGCGGTCCCTTTCCGGTGACAATGGCCTGAACAAAGAACCCAAACATGGAGAACATAGCCAGCCGCCCATTCTTGATCTCCTTCACCTTCAACTCGGCAAACGCCTCCGGGTCATCGGCTAGGCCCAACGGGTCGAAACTGCCACCCGGGTAGAGCGGGTCGACCACCTCACCGAGCGGCCCACCCGCAACCCGGTATCCCTCGACCGCGCCCATGAGAATAACCCGGCAGGCCCAAATGGCCAGGATGCTCTGTGCGTGGACCAAGCTCGGGTTGCCCAAGTAGTCAAGCCCACCTTCGCTGAAGATTTTGGGCCCCGGCGTTGAACCAAACGGCCTCTCCGAACTTCACCCCGTTGCGGGCCAGGAGCTCGGGGAAGACGCAGCCCAGGGCTCCGAGCATGGCCCACCTGCAGTGGATCACTTCGAGCTCCCTGTTCTTGGCGAATGTCTCGGGGTCCGCGGAGAGCCCAACCGTGCCCCAGCCGTAGTCGCCGGGGAACTCGCCGGTCAGGTACGATGGGGCCTCCCCAGAGAACGGGCCCAGGTACTTGACGCGGTCCGGGCCGTACCATGGGCTTCCGGATGAAGCGGGCTTGCGCTTGGCGGCGACTTTCCTCATTGTGACGCGGCCGTCGCACATGAGCTCCGAGGGCAGCGAGGGGGAGAGCTTCACCGCCTTGCCGACGAAGGAAGGGGAGGAGAGGGCCATGGCTGCAGCAGACATTGTTGTTGTGAAGAGGGAAGAGTGTTGTTGCTCTGTGTCTGTTGCTTGCAGATGAAGAAAAGGAAAGATTTGTCTGTGTTGGTTTGGATTTTTGGGCTACAATTATGGGTCCATATTTATATGGGCTTTGGGGAATGGGTCCTTATCTAAGAAGATCTGTTTATCCAAGTCTTATTGGCTGGGGATTTTTGGAGGCTTGATTTTCTTTTGGACGAGTTGGTCACCTATGGGGCTAAGATACATTAGGATTTAGGGGTTGCAAAAATCTAGTGGAAATATTGTGAGGTGTCATATCCAGCCAATGTGACAATGCCACGTGTTCTTCAAGATAGTATCACATATGCTAGATGGATGGAATTAGGTTGTCGACCCGCGGGTGTCGACCCAGTTTGACCCTGACCCGATGAGAAAAACGGGTCGTACGCACCCGCCGGGCCGACCGCTATAAGGTACCGGGCTAGAGGTCAAATTGTGTCATTTTTTCCTTTGATTTGCGAAATGCGCCTATTTTCTGATTTTTCTTTTCGCCCAACTCAATCTTTGGAATCCTAAGTTGAACATTTGAATATTTATGTTATATAAGTGTGTGTGAATTTTCATTATATGTTGGATCTAAGTACGATATGTTATTTTGGTGTAATATTATATGTTATAACTCATATGTTAGATAAGATTTTATATAATTTATGAGGATAAGTACAATATAATGACTTTTTCCACATTTCCGGGCCAAACGGGGCTAAAACGATTGATCCATTAACCCTTGACCCACTAGCTCGACCGGGTCCGGGTCAACCCGCGGGTTGACAACCTATTGGAATATCTGTATCTCCATTTGGGTGTTATGCAATATAGCGGGCTCTTCCATTATTTGACGAAAATGGCGATAATGTTTTTTCTATGAGCCAAATCTAGCAACATTTTTTAATAGTGTAGTAACGAAGAGGCGGAGTAACTAATTTAATTGATTTTTTCATAGTATTAGAGTAGTAGAGCTATTTCTCCTGTTCTTAACTTCCTATTTTAATTACACTAAAATGAGAAGTTGGACTAGGATAGACCCACTAGACTGATGAAATTGGGAAGGAGAAATGGGGTGCTGATTGCTGAATAATTGGGAGACAAGTCTTAGTGGTATTTTTTTGGATGAATAACTCTGGGATAATTTGTAATTTGTTGTCTGCTATTTTACTATTAATCGCTTATATTTATTTTATATATTTTAAAAAGTAAATATTTTCATTTTAGTGTTGGAAGGAGGAGAATATGTTTGGGGTACAAATTTTACGAAAATTTTCAGCTTATCATCCATCATAAGCACTACTCTGCAGCCTGTCATTTGATCAATAACCAGTAGTAACAAAGAATTCTCCTCCTGCTGTCATATACTTCTGTAATCTATCCAGAATAAGTGATTTACTTGATGAGTTTAATTTCTACATTTTCCTTTTTATCCCTCAATATATCATTCCCCAAAATTTTCGTTTTGTAATTTATCATTCTAACTCAAACTTATGTGTTACTAATACACATTACATTCACAATTTCACTAAATAAAACTCACATGTCCAATAAACACTAGATTGTCAACTGCTTATGCTTTCCAATTTCTACCATAGATTTTCGTAAGTAGAACTATGCATTTGTCTACGAAACTATGCATAAAACCTATTGCTTTCTGGCTTGGTCTTTGAACAACCCAAATTTATGGCTTCGGCTATATGCTTTCCTTCTACCATAGATTTTCGTAAGTAGAACTATGCATTTGCTTTATACAAGCAATTCACGTAGGCCATTTCCTGAGCTAGGAAAAAATATGTTATCTGTAAAATGCATAAACCATACTAAGAACTTTCCGAATAAGGAAAACATTAATTTTTCTGTAAGACCATATTTTATGATTTATGCGTCTCTTGTATCACTAAAGAGCTGTTAAGGGTAGAAGAATAAGCACCTAGAATGTTTTACTGAAGAGCTTAATCTTCGTAGATCCTTCTCTGACAGCAAATTCTCCATCCGGAGACCAAACAAATTCCAATGCAGAACCAAATGACCTATTCCTCCAGACCAGAGCTGTATATATAATATACTCGCCATCGCCACAAACAAACACAAATCTTCCATTTGGGTTATGATTCAAGCTCTGGAATCAAGCAAACACCGAAATAGATTCCATCAGAGAATGAATTATTCCGCAAGATGGTACACTGACAATTTGCACGAATAACTACTTTTACTTATATCATGATGATGCGTGGACAATACAGATCCATCGTGTCAGAAAATGTGGATTATGATAATGACGTCAGATCTGAAATCAAATAACAAAAATGTGCTAATCCATCCATTAATGCTTTGGGCTCATAATAATTTAGAAGTTGTTCCTGCTATGCAGCCTAGAGCATTAATGAAGCTCGGGTAGAACTAAGAGGAGGCCCAAATTTGATGCTTTTACTCCTGATACAAGATCTAATTTTCATTGGAGCCTGAAACTCTTCAACTATTATTATAGTATAGTAATGAATGATAATCTTTAGTTCTGTGAGAACAACTGAAGTAGATTTGTAGGACGTACTTACACCAATACCCTAGAAAAATTTAGCAGGAAATAGCAAGATAGATGTACATGTAAGCTATCAAATTTTGATACGTTCATTCTATGTTTTTGGTTCAAAGAAAGTCTAATTCCAGTAATGAGGGAAGACTAGAAAGTAATACTTCGCATCTCAATAGGCCTAACAAATAGAAAATTGGATTATCCTTCAAATAAATGGCAAAATATTTTTTTTTGTATATCTCCCAAACAACACAAGTCCTACCTGAGGATAGATTTCACAGACTCCCAACTCCTTCACTGCCAAAGGCAACTTCTCTTCATCAGCAACCTGAGGTTGATGACTTGATATTTGAACATGTTTTCCCCTTTGTTTCTTAATCGTTTAAGCTTGCATTATCGCTTCTTTGGCTTATTTTATGCTAGGTTTTGTTCCTTTGTCACATTTCAGGTCCTAGCACACAAAGTGAAGCGTAGGCGCAAGTTTCAAGTCATTTGGAGATCAATTGGCGACTCAGGGGAAGAAACTCGGGTATGAATTGACGAAGAATGGGTTTATACATCCGTTTGTAACAATAGAATCATGTAAGCTTGTCATGAGAAGAAAAAGAACGAGACTACGAGCATCTGGGATCTAACGACACCTAATTTGGAGTCCGAACGAGGGAGAAACGAAGAATCAAAGATAGGGGACCCAGAACTGCAAAATACCCGACCAAAATACCCGACCGGGTATTTTGACCATCTGATAGGGTATTTTTGACAGAATCAGAAGGCCCCCCGGTCGCAGTGCCGGAGCCAGCTCATAACAAGGTGGGTCCCGGGACCCACCTTGGCTGAAGATTATAGTGTTTGTAAAATCATATTGTATAGGTGGTTTGATCGAGAAAACCTTCCATTGGATTTTAAATTGTAGACGGTTTTTTAGTAGTATTAAACGGTTGAATCACGATTAAACCATGGTTTCAACATAAATATCATACTATTGAATTTTTTTAGTACACATGAACCTTGCATATTATCAATAACTCTAGAACCTATCACCTCATGTTTACTGGTTTTACTTATCTACAAATAAATTGTAGAAAACTTTGTGGTACACATGAACCTTGTATATTATATAAATAACTCTTGACTTTATATAAAACTGTGACCCTAATTATGTATTATAAATTTACTAATTTTAATTTAGTATCGAATTTCCACCTTCCAACGAAAATATGTCGACATACTATAAAACGCGTTATAGGTCATTTCATTCATTTTATATAATTTTATTTTTATGTCGGACCCACCTTAAGTGAAATCCTGGCTACGCCACTGCCCGGTCGTGAACCAAAAATACCCGACCGGATCGCGAACGCAGGTTGTTAAAAGCATGTTTTGTGCGTTTTTGGCGGGAGAGAGCTGGGTTATGGATCCCAAACACCCAAGGGACGAACAAGAGAGAGAGAGAGGGCGATTTGAGGGCATTCATGGAGTGGAATTGGAGGATTTCTTCGCCTTGGAAGCTCGAGGAACAAGCCCTGACTTGAAGACTGATCATCTGAATATTCTTATTGCAGTCTCTCTTTCTCAATGGAGTAACTTCCCTTCACTTAGGTTTTGAGGAACCCTAGCTATGTTTGTTTGATTGGATGATTGTATGAGTACTCCTACTTGATAATCTTGAGTTCATATTCAATCTATGCCCGTTTTCATGATTCAATTATGCTTTAGTCGAGATTATTGATTCTGTTTTGATCCTATGAGAGCGAATACCTGATTAGGTCAATAGAGCACCATAGATTGATGGTATTGGATCGATTGCTTTAGTCGAGGGTCGATTAATTGCTTTGTATCAATTGAGAACCTCATTCGATAGAGGGAGTCTAGTTCAGAATGCCTTGATCGGTTGTTCCAGAGAAGGATACGTCCCTCTAGGCAATCGACTCAAGAGGGCCTTGATCCTTTAGTCGAGATTCAAGGTCTAGTCAAGGATTTTCCGCATAGTGTATGAAAGTGAAACATGTTAGAAATCATTAATCTGGCTAGTGGCTAGGGGGAATCATACCTAAGTGAGTTCCCAACCTGTAATTAGATTAACTTTAACTGTAGTTTTTTAGAGTAGTTTTAGTTCTTCTGTCTTAATCTGGTTTGCTAGATAATGAACTGAAGCTGGGTAATAGTAACTCTAGAGACCCGTGGATTTGATATTTATTACTTGAGCCACTATACTGTAGTCCCTTTCATTGGTTACACTTGGCCATTGTTAGGAGTTGTGTCATAGCGAGACAAGTTTTTGGCGCCGTTGCCGGGTACTTTCTAGATTATTAGGAAAGACAGAAGTTTGTTACTTTAGCTTTTTTCTTTTCTTTTCCACCCTTGCTTTTCACTTGGGTGTTTTTGTTGGTGCAGATATGAATCATGGATGCTCATGGCTTCTACAACCATTGGGGGTATCCACCACCGTCCGAGTGGTATTACCCCGAGACTTCCTGGAGCAATCAAGGAGGAGAAGACTATGGATTCGAGTTCCAATACCAACCCCCTTACTATGGAGAACAACCGGACCCTTGGACATTTCAAGAATAATATCTTTATGAAGAAGAATTCCTCCCACAACCAGAAGGGCCATCGGAGCTGGAGTTAGCCATGGCGGCCTTCACGGGCCATTCTGCAGAGCCATGCTACACTCCAAGACCAGATCCAAACTATGAATTGAGGCTTCTCGTGGAGCAGTTTGCTCGGGATACCGAGAGACGCAATCGCAAGATTGACCTCCTTTTTCCCATCTTTTGCTCCTCCTAACTCTTCATCCCTTCATGAATCGGAGGAAACTGTTCCGCACTCAGCAAAGCAAACAGAGCGGGTTGAGCAAGTTTGTGCACAACTTGCTCAAGATCACCCTTCATCTACCATACTAGAAGAGGAGGACGAAGACGAAGGCTACAAGGACATTGTGGAGCAAACAGAAGTTGTCACAGATAGCTCCCGTGAAGATCATGATCAAGAATGTCCTGTTGTAGCCGAACACACCTTCCCACATCCCACACTGAGCTTTGAAGAGGTGGGCATGAGCAAGGAGATGCAAGATGATCTCATGAAAGAAATTGCTTGGCAACTTGCTCTCCAATCCGTGATAGAAGAAGAAGAGCGAGAAAGGATGAGGAAAGAAGTTGTGGAGGATGACGGAAGTGAATTAGAGGAAGTTCTTGATCTTTTCCGAAAGGAGGAATTAAATTCTAAAGAAGGAAGGGGGGTTGAAGAAGAAATTGGCGTCCAGGATTGGGACATAGTTGAGGCGGAAGAGGCTTGCACCGGCCTTATGTTGCAAGTAATATCCCCACTAAACTTCGAGGAATTGCTTAGCAAGGACCCCTTTGCAGTGTCTCTTTGCCAGACCAAGGCCACATCGACATCGGTCCCTCTTGGTGGACGCGATGGTTGTCAATCGATGTTGTCATATCTGGTTTGGGGCAATGAGACGAGAGAAGAGAAGAAGAGGTCTTGAGGGTGGAGACTTCATTTGCATCAAGTGCACGAGCTTCCATCACCTGTCATACCACATGTTCGTGACTTGAGACTCCACCTCATCGACGAGAACCTCAACTTCAAAGAGTTTCTGGGGTGGACCGAAACTTAGGAGCCATCGTCCGGCTCACGAAGTGAAAGAAGCGCTTGTTCAGAGGCAACCCAACCAATCGGTTTGCATTTCTTTCTCTATTTCTCCTCGGTTGAGTCAGTTTTGTTCTTTGTGAGATTTTGTGTGGTGTTTGTGTTCCGAATACTCTCTCCTCCTAGAATGCACCGCCTGCCCCATCCACCATCATTCACCCTTGATCTGGTAACTTCGTTCTACCCTCTTTATCTTTCCTCCATTGAGGACAATGTCGTGCTTAAGTGTGAGGGTATGTTCTATTATGTATGCGTGTGAATGTTTGGTTGTATGTGTGTGCTTGGAGCATAGTCCACTGTCCAAATTTCGATTTGAGGGCTCCAAGTACGTGTTCCTTGTAATTGTCTGCTCAGTATGCTTTGAATTGACAGTCTCTATAGTAATGTGCAACCTAGGGAGGTAATGTAGCACTATGGAGGATGTTGATGCATTTAAGAAGTCTCCTTTCTTCTTCATATTGTGTTGGTTGATTGTTTGAATTAGTGATATGAGGACCCTTGAATTGTGTGGTGTTGTGGACTCTCTACCTGTTATGGACTCCTGTATCATGTTTTGAAATAAAAGGTGCTAAAAATATGCTTTAAGTGTGGGGGGATGTTCAATTATGTATGCGTGTGAATGTTTGGCTATATGTGTGTGCTTCGAGCCTAGTCCACTGTCCAAATTTGGATTTGAGGGATCCAAGTACGTGTTCCTTGCAATTGCCTGCTCAGTATGCTTTGAATTCACAGTCTCTATAGTAATGTGCAACCTAGGGAGGTAATGTAGCACTATGGAGGATGTTGATGCATTTAAGAAGTCTTCTTTCTTCTTCATATTGTGTTGGTTGATTGTGTGAATTAGTGATCTTAGGACCCTTGAATTGTGTGGTGTTGTGGACTCTCTGCCTCTCATGGACTCCTGTATCATGTTTTGAAATAAAAGGTGCTCGAAAATGTGCTTTAAAATAACGTCTCCCGTGCGAATAGGGCGAAAGTGTGTAAGGGGAGACGGGAATCCGTTCCCAATTTCCACCTACTACCTCGAACCCCTTTACATTTCTTTCCCCCGCACGAGGCTCGAGACATCCGCTCCTGGCATGGCCGATAAGAGCTGGGCTCCCGCAAAACCTCTGCTAGGTGGGATCCCCCATTTTCTGAAAAACAGGTTGGAACCCTTGAAAAGAAAAAGAAAAAGAAAAAACAAAAAAACAAGAAAAAAAAAGAAAGAAAAGTGGTTCCAACCATCTTCATGAAAGAAAATAGAGCACCTTAAAAATGCGAGCCCATGATCTTTTGTTTTCGAGAGTCCATTTGTCCACGATTCATTTGTCCTCTGATCACTATTTGCCATGATGCTGACTCGAGACTGACTAGCGTTCTCGCCGAAGAAGCTATGAGATGACTTGTGTGTCGATTGACCTCGTAAGTTGCTAAATGATCTAGAAAATCCACTATCAACGATCGAGGGTGCATGTTGCTATAGAGGTCTGGAGAGCTGCATTGGTTTGAGTTAGGTTTGCTTGGGGACAGACAAACGGTTAAGTGTGGGGGGATTTGATGACTTGATATTTGCACATGTTTTACCCTTTGTTTCTTGATCGTTTAAGCTTGCATTATCGCTTCTTTGACCTATTTTACGCTTGGTTTTGTTCCTTTGTCACATTTCAGGTCCTAGCACATAAAGTGAAGCATAGGCGCAAGTTTCAAGTCAATTGGAGATCAATTGGCGACTCGGGGGAAGAAACTCGGGTATGAATTGAATAACAATGGATTTATACCTCAGTTTGTGACCATAAAATCATATAATCTTGTCATTAGAAGAAAGAGGACGAGACTACGAGCATCTGGGATCAAATGACACATGATTTGGAGTCCGAACGAGGGAGAAACGAAGAATCAAAAATAGGGGACTCGGAACTACAAAATACCCTACCGAGTATTTTGACCATCTGGTAGGGTATTTATGACAGTATCAGAAAGCCCCCCAGTCCTGAACCAAAAATACCCGGCCAGGTACCCAAAATACCCGACCGGGTCGCGAACGCAGGCTGTTAAAAGCATGTTTTGTGCGTTTTTGGAGGGAGAGAGCTGGGTTTTGGATGCCAAACACGCAAGGGACGAACCACAGAGAGAGAGAGGGCGATTTGAGGGCATTCTTGGAGTGGAATTGGAGGATTTCTTCACCTTGGAAGCTCGAGGAACAAGCCCGGACTTGAATACTGATCATCTGAATATTCTTATAGCAGTCTCTCTCTTCTCAATGGAGTAACTTCCCTTCACTTAGGTTTTGAGGAACCCTAGCTATGTTTGTTTGATTGGATGATTGTATGAGTACTCCTACTTGATAATCTTGAGTTCATATTCAATCTATGCACGTTTTCATGATTCAATTATGCTTTAGTCGAGATTATTGATTCTGCTTTGATCCTATGAGAGCGAATACCTAATTAGGTCAATAGAGCACCATAGATTGATGGTATTGGATCGATTGCTTTAGTTGAGGGTCGATTCACTGCTTTGTGTCGATTGAGAACCTCATTAGATAGAGGGAGTCTAGTTCAGAATGCCTTGATCGGTTGTTCTAGAGAAGGATACGTCCCTCTAGGCAATCGACTCAAGAGGGCCTTGATTCTTTAGTCGAGATTGAAGGTCTAGTCAAGGATTCTCCGCATTGTCAATGAAAGTGAAACAAGTTAGAAATCATCAATCATTAATCTGGCTTGTGGCTAGGGGGAATCATACCTAAGTGAGTTCCCAACCTGTAATTAGATTAACTTTAAATGTAGTTTGTTAGAGTAGTTTTAGTTCTTCCATCTTAATCTAGTTTGCTAGATAATGAACTGAAGCTGAATAGTAGTAACTCTAGAGACCCGTGGATTCGATATTTATTACTTGAGCCACTATACTGCAGTCTCTTTCATTGGTTACACTTGGCCATTGTTAGGAGTTGTGTCATAGCGAGTCAGAGGTACAAAGATTTAGGTATAGCCTATTAAGAGAGCTCTTTAGAGTTCAGCTGATCTCAAATTTGAGGAAAGAATATAAAAAACCTCATTTTCTGTTCAAACACTTCTATATTCACTGTAAGTATTTCATTATGCTTGGCCCAAATAACTTTTCCACTACTAAACATGCTGGCCACTGGTACTTCTCTACCAATCTTGATCATGACAGATCCTTCATCATAACCAATCACAATCCTGCAAGAATAAAGAAAGACGAGGAACAAAGACCATTAACAATCATAAGTTCTAAATGGCAATGCATAAATAGGTACGCGCATCCAGCACAAAGTTTCATATAATGACAAGAAGTGAATAGTGACACTCTTATGTAACAAAAATGAAAATTTAAGCATTATAACTCATGAAAATGAAGAACCATAGTAACGATTGTAAAAAAATATGCTTTGCAGGAGCCAACAAGATTCAACAAGCAAATGGAACTTGAAAAAGAAAGTCAAGATCTTTACCTGCGCAACCCTTTCATATACCCAATGGCCCAAGCTCTTTCGAGTCCATAATTCAGAGTAGTTTCAAGCCTGGAAATGAATGAATATGATTAAATTTCTTGGGGAAAAGACATGCGAAGCATACACAGGTCCAAGGAAGAACATAAATAAGTCACTTCACCATCCAACTTTCAGCTCAAGAATCATGTAACTCACAGACAAGAACATGGAATTCAATAGCCCTGATTCAATTCAGGTATACCACAAAATGCACATAAATAACACTTCCAACAACCACAACTCTTGTTTGTCTTTTTATAATTAAGTTACTGGTCAAAACATGAAAGTACCTGTAAGTGGTGGCTTGCCATATTCTCACCGTCCCATCCTCGGAAGCAGTGAATATAATGGGAAGCTCAGGATGGAAGCACACTGCATAAATATTGTGGGTGTGCCCCTCAAGCGTCTGCACAAATCTCCGAAAAATATTTTCATATCAATGCTAACATCGCTGCATAGCTTCACCAATCTCCGAAAAAACACATAAGATAACTGCCTTTTCCGTCCAACCTTTATGGTGTGATCAAGCGATGCACTGGCAAAAGTATTGGTATCTTTGGGATTAAATGTTACTTGCATAACATAATGTGAATGGCCTTCAAATATCTGAGTGCACATCCAACCCCTTTCCCAGTCCAAGTTTAATAAGCATGTCATCGGATGCAGACAAAACATATGGTAGCGTTGGATGGACAGCAAGACTTCTGATATAATCTGTATGAGCTTCAAATTCCTTAATCTTGTCCATTGTGTTATACTTATACACACGAATATGCATGTCATCGGCTCCGGCAACAACCCATTGTTTGCGTGCGATAAATTTTGACGACCGCACTGCAATACCACATTATTTAAATGTCAAATGGTACTTGTATTCACAACACGGGAATTAGACTAAGGAAATGTCTAGGAAAACCCCACACACCTGGTAAATTTGTGACCTCGAATGACTTCAACATGGTCTAAATTTTTTTCAGAGAAATAGAGGAGTTGGCTTTTCTTTCAAGTATTGAAGAAAAAGAACAAACATAATATACTCCAGTATCAACATGGTGATGTGTAACCTAAGATCAGTGGTCGTAACCCTGGTTGATAAACTTAACAAGAGCCAAGCTAGATTTGCTAATAACCATATGTAATTTTTACCTCTCGAATATACCTATTTTCCCCTTCTTTTTCTGCTATTCATCATTTTTGGTAAAACTGACTAAGCTATTAAAATCACGTTATTGGCCTACAAGTGTTGATCGTTTGAATAAAAACTTACAAACATTAAGTAGAAAAAAGAAGTTGGTTGAACAAACCAACCATGTGATCTAGCCATCAAAACCACCCCATAATATACATTGCAAGTTTGCAACATAAACGAAGAGAAGGTAAAACATTAATAGCAAGATCAATTTCATAGTGCCCCTAACCTGTGTCTGGTAATTCCATATGTAATCAGTCCCAGAATAAAGACCGCCATGAATCCTGCCACAACACCAAACCAATTACAGCTAGGCAGAAAAAGATGCAGCATCGAGGATCCAACAATGTCGTGCATAAGTGAAAACCAGGGGAGTTAAAAGATTATAATTACCATGGCTCGCTGGGGTGCAGATCTACAGACTTGACCCTCTCACTCCTTTGCACGAACATTCTCTGTTGATCCATTACCAATAAGTACAAATTAAGCATGGCGCACAAACAAAGATAATAGAGAATTCCTTAAATTCAGAAAACAAATTACCTTGATATCAAGTCTCGGAGGCTGCAATTGCGAAATCAAGAAGAAGAAAAAGAAGAAGAAGAAGAAGAAGAAGAAACGCATTAGCTCGCTGTTAAGAACTGAACTGAAAGCAACTCCAAAACTCCTAGTTGATCTAAATTCAACCAAGCAGCATTGCGACTAAGACTAGAAACAATCGAATCCATAATCAATAGCAAATCCTTCCACATCACGATCTCGAGATTTGCTATCCATTTCTGATATTGCACCGCACAATCAAGTTCACTCAGGCGCCAAAAGCAATAGTTTCAAATCGCAGCACAGAAATCGGAAATCACAGCTCGACGAACAAGTTTTCCCTCAGTTTCTCGACATGCAAACAAGCCGGATATGCGAAGAATAAGCAGAAGGAGAGTAATGTACAGCGTGTGGGACATCAGATCTACTATCAGATTGAATTGAGGGGAAAACTCTCACCATTTTCGCTGCGACGGAGACTTGAGACTTGATCAAAGAAGCTGATTGATCGAATAGCGGAGACCAAACGTTGAAGGAGAGGAAGAAGCAGAAGAAGATTTAGAGTGGTCGAGGAGAAGGCAACAGCGACGAGAGGGCCGGTCTGAGCTGTTGGTTGCCCGCTCTCAGCGTAAGAAATGGGACGCGAGAGAAATAAGGAAAATATAAAAAATTAGACTGGGGAGCGAGCATGGAAATGGAGTTGACTACTGGACTTGCAGTTTGAGTAGGTTGTTTTGTTTCGGAATTCCTTATTGGGCCGGACCCATGTCGGATATAATAGGCTAAGTAATGGATCTGGGTGGGCTTTGTTTATTCAGCCCATATGCTTCTTGCCGAACAAATTGAAGAGAAGGGAATAGGGACACCATTATGTTTAGCTATATACAAACGTGCAATTATGACACTACCAAATGCTTGGTTGGAAGTAGCTTTCAATTTGTGAGACTTTCCAAAAAATTACATGTGGTTGTTCCTCCGTGATTGTGGTTGGAGGATTGGTAAAGTGAAATATGAGTATAGAATACAATCAACCGATTCAATGGAATTCAGTTCACTCCATTTGTAATCATCGTTCGAGATTGTGGATTGCATACATTGTGAGATCATGGTTTGATTGGATTCATCAATGTCTCTCACCCAGGATCGCTCAAAGTGAATTGTTGTTTGATTTGACCAACAAAGTTTGAAAATATTAGTAGAAACGATTTATTGTCATCAAGTCAACACGAGAGATAAATGTGCTAAAGTAAAGTGTCATTTAATAAGTGATTTTATTGAACCGCCGCCCAAGTTCGCCGAGAAAGCCCGCAACATCCGTCCATCTTCTCTTCTTATCACTCCTCCTGCAGCAGCTCTATTCTGGGATAGGAGCACGGAACCATCAGTGTTTAGGCTAGCCCAACCAAATGGCGGACGTATCCAGCTGATGAATCGAGTACACCTCTGGCTATCTCCTCTTGTGAAGTTCTGCGACGCCTTAAAAGCCAAGAAAACTTGGCTTCGAAGTACTTTTATACGACCAGCCAGCTGCATGGGTGCCGCCAAACACTTCTCAAAAACCCATGTATTCCGATTCTGCCACAGCTGCCAGCAAACCAGCGCGAAGGTGGAGCCATCCACAATGGGGCTGCGGTCCGTCAGGTAGTGGAGTCCCCAACGTGGAATGTCCGTCTGGAAGAAAACCCGGTCGGGCTCATCTGCCAAGAAGTACGACCACACGTCGCGAGCATAGGCACAGTCACGCATGACGTGGATCGAAGTTTCCGGCCCTCCTCCGCATATAGTGCACTTATCCGTGGTCACCAGATGTCGACAGAACCTCTCTGCATTCATAAGCAACCGGTCATGTAGAACCAACCAGAATAAGGTCTTTGTTCGCTGCGGCCCCGGGATTTTCCAGACAGCCTTCCAAGTTGGGTTATGGTGTACCTCATCTCCATCTTCCCTCGTGAGAGCATACGCCGTCTGCAACGTGAATTTACCTTACTGGGAAAGCCTCCACAAGGGAATATCTGGGACCTCCTCAAATGGTACCGGGTGGAGTTGGAGTTGTGCGGTCATCGGCTCAGGGAGGAAGGCGCGAACAAAATCCAAGTTCCATTGGCCATTCAGAACCATGTCTGCTACTGTCAAGTCTCTAGCTTCTGCAGGGAGGTTTGCAGCGAAACTCTCGAGCGGCGGACCATCCTGCAACCAAACATCGGACCAAAATCGGGTTTGCATACCACTTATTATATTCCATAGTGTACCCTCCGGCACATAGTGGAGCACGCGCAAAACACCTCTGCAGAGGTTGGATAAGCGGTCGGAGACTCATGGTTGCCAACCCCTCTCCGTTTCCCTTACATACTTCCCCCGAACGACTTTTGCCCACAAGGTTTCAGGCTCGGTGAGAAAGTGCCATGCTATTTTTATCATGAAGGCGTCATTCATCCTTGTCGCAGTGCGCAATCCCAGACCTCCTTCTTCTTTCGGCTTGCAAATAGTATCCCAGTCAACTAGGTGGATCTTCCGGCCTTGCTCCGAGCTTCCCCAGATGAAACCCCTTATCTTCATATCAATGTATTCTCGAACAGAAACGGGAAGGAGGGCCGTTTGCATTGTATACGTCGGCAGGGATGAGAGCACAGATTGAGCTAGAGTAATTCGTGCCGCCATAGAGAGAGCCTTCACTTTCTACCCGGCCAGACGAGAATCGATCCTGTCAATGAGCTCTGTGTAGGTAGCTTTAGAAACCCTGTCGTGGATCACAGGGACCCCCAAATAACGTCCCAAGTTTTTTGTTTCCGGAATGTCCAAGGCGCGGCTGATATCCGCTCCGACAGGGGCGGCGACATTCTTTGAAAAGTAAACTCGGGACTTTGGCCGGCTCACTTGCTGCCCCGAGGCTGCTACAAACTCATCCAGGCATTGCAAAATCACCTGAACTTGTTCCTGCGACGCCACACTAAAAAGGATTAAGTCGTCAGCGAAAAAGAGGTGGGAAATCTTTGGACCTGGGTTGGATAACCGGATCGGCTTCCATCGCCCCTCCTCCACCGCCGCAAAAATAAGGTGGCCCAATCTCTCCATGCATAAGGTTAACAAGTAGGGCGAGAGGGGGCAGCCCTGTCGGAGTCCTCTAGATGGCGTAAAGGCCTCCGTGATACCCCGATTCCGTTGATTCTGCATGGTCGCCGACGTAATACAGCTCATCGTTAAGTCAATAAACTGTTGAGGAGCTCCCGCTGCAAGAAGAGTGTCCTTGAAAAAACTCCATTTGATGCGATCGTAAGCCTTAGCAAGGTCGATTTTGAGAACCATCCAACCTACCTTGCCCGACTTAGCTCGCATCGAATGGACCACCTCCTGCAAAATGCAAATATTGTCAGTAATATGTCTCCCAGGGACGAAGCTCGTCTGTGTCTCATGTACCAGTTCAGGCATTAAAGGCTTGAGTCTCTCGGCTAAGCATTTCGTGATCATTTTGTAACTCACATTACATAAGCTAATTGGGCGAAATTGTTCAATCAGAGAAGGCCGAGCAATCTTTGGTATCAGTACCAAAATGGTAGCATTCACTTCCTAGATGCGGGAGGGCTGTTCCCAGCAAGCCTGAACAAAATCCACAACCGCCGAACCCACAAGGTCCCAACATCGCTGATAAAAGAAAGGGTTCAGCCTGTCTTTGCCTGGTGCTTTCAATGCACCCATAGCTCGTACTGCACTTAGAACTTCGTCGTGGGACACAGGTGCGGACAGCGGCATCCAAAGGGAAGCCTGAAGATGCTTGAACGCTGCAGGGATTGAAGTAGTCGGCTGGCCATCATCTGTGTAGAGGGCGGTGAAGAAGAGCCGAGCTAGCTCCAGTAAGGCCTGCTGATCCTCAACCCATTCACCCGCACCATTCTTCAAGGCTGTGATCCGATTCCTCCGTCTCCTGTTGATGGTGCGGTTATGGAAAAATTTTGTGTTGCGATCTCCTAGAGCCACCCATTCTAGGTTCGACTTCTGGCACCATAGAAGTTCTTCTTGGAGTTAGACATTTTCGAGTTCTTCTCGATCTTGCTTCAGTCGTTCTTCCGCCGATCGGTTTCCAACCTTGCTTTCCAAGCGCTCGATGCGGGTCAACAGGGAGTTTTTCTTCTTAACAATCTGTCCAAAAACCGATTTATTCCATGAACTGGCATCCTCCACAAAGGCTGCCGCAGAGGATACAAAGTCAGTGCCTCGGTCCCATGTCTGCTTTGCCATGTCGAAAAATCCCTCATGTGTTAGCCAAGCCACAAGGAACTTGAAAGGTTTGGGTCCCGCTGGTTGATAAGTCGGGTTGAGTCTAATGAGCAGTGGTTGGTGATCACTCTTAATCCGTGGTAGATGATGGACGGTGGTATTCGGGAACTCAGCTGCCCACATAGCATTTGTAAGGCCCCTGTCCAGCCGTTCCATAACTCCCGTCTTGAACCAGGTAAACGGTGGCCCCGTAAACCCCAGATCCACTAGCCCTGCATCAAAAACACAGTCCTGAAACTCCCGGGCACGGCTGTTGGCGAAGGCAGATCCTCCTCTCTTGTCTCCTGGTTGCAAGATGGAATTGAAATCTCCAGCTATTAACCAGGGTTCTACCATCGTCTCAGCAATCCCCCGAACAGCGTGCCAAAGTTCACGTCTTTGCACCAGGGCGGGGTTAGCGTACACAGCAGTGAAAAACCATGTTGAATGTCCGATAACAACTTTGGCATGGATGAATTGGGAGGCTCGGTCAACCGATGTAATCGTGGCTAGCGATGAGTCCCACAACAACTAAATCCCACCCGAGAAGCCTACCGCATCCACTATTATTTTGCTGTCATACCCCATGCTCTGGACAACCTTCTCTGCTCGATCACCACTAATCCGTGGTCCAACGATAATTGTAATTCCCGGATTATACTTTCTCTTGTACTCTTTGAAAACACGCAGGAACCGCTTGCTTCCCGCTCCCCTACAATTCCACGTAAAGATACTTGTATCGATCATCTAAACAGACATGGAAGGTAGGTCCCAGATTCTCGCAGCAATTAAGCTAGGCGAGGAGCGCCCCCAACACTGGGGTTCTCCTGCGG